ATATATTATATTTATATTAAACAAAGTCAAACACTAATAAAATGACACCTCACAGATTTCAACGCAACATCAGATTTCATATATTTTGTATGATTATAGACTGATATAAGATACTAGTTATACACAGACCGTAGTTTTATTTATTATGATACTGCAATCCAATAGCAGGCGTACAGCTGCAATTTTTTATTATGACTAATATTTTAAAAAAAAATATTCTCAAATGTTTTTTTCGGATATCCTGTTTTCAATGATATAACGCCAGATTGCATTGCTACGAGAAAACCTACTTGAATTACGATAAAGTAGTAAAAACTTTGAACGATTTTAAGGTTTGTCCTTCAGATGATCTAAAATTCATATTTTAGAACAATGAAATAACCGTGTATCCTGTTATGATTATCACTCAAATCACAGTTTTAGTTTTGCTAACAATTGCGCCCCCTTATTAACAGACCTATTTTGTTTTCATATGAAGCAGAATTTATTTAAAAACTTCTACATGAGAAGAGGAAAACACTTTTCTGTTTCCTTTTATTTTTATGACTTCTTAACTGTTTTCTTTGTCCTGAAGAAGGGACAGGGCGTCCCGAAAATTTGACAATTTCAATTAATTTTGTTCGTGTCGTTGGTCATTTTTAGTGAGAACCAGACTGGACAATCCAATACCTAACAGTGTCTTTAGAGCTTGCTCTGACAGAAGATGTTTTCTTTTTAAGCACAGCTCTGACACTTTTTGACACAGCTTTAACTGCCCCGTTATAGGCTGCAGATACAGAATTCTAGGGAATTTGTCCTGTCAACCAGAAAACTGCATATATCTCATCAGTTGTAAAGTTTGTTCCACACAGTACGTTGGGGAAACGGGTGATCTCCGTATGAGAATCAATAATCAACGTTCGACCATTAAGACCAAAAAAGTCAATGAACCCACTGGGGAACATTTTAATCTTGAAGGTCACAAATGGGAGGACATGACAGTAGTGGTTATTGACCATATTCTTTCTTTACAACTGGTTATAAACTTCAAATTAAACATTGTAAATACAAAGTGTTTGGTAGTTAAGTAGTAGTGCTAGTTGTTTTTTTTTTTTCTGTTTCCTTTGTTTTTATAACTTCTTAACCTTTTTCTTTGTCCTGAGGAAAGGACAGGGCGTGCCGAAAATTTTACAATTTCTGTTGTTCGTGTCGTTGGTCATTTTTAGTGCTTTGTATAAATTTCCATCCTTGACCTTGTATCTATTTAGTAGATTCGACACTTAGGATATGCAGTTTACAAATCAAGTACAAGCTATGCGTGTCTGTTCACTATCTCTCTCTCATTAAATACCCTAAATACCCTGTCTAACTGAGGTGCTCTCTCTTTCTCTCTCTCTCTCTCTATATATATATCAATATCTATCTATCTATCTATCTATCTATCTATCTATCTATCTATCTATCTATCTATCTATCTATCTATCTATCTATCTAACTATATATATATATATATATATATATATATATATATATATATATATATATATATATATATATATATATATGGACTGTTCTCTGGGAAAAGGGGTCTTGATGACAAAATTCTCGAAATTGACTTTTTCAAATATTTCAAATCTACAACAAATTTAGGACACACAATCAAAATTTGAGGATTTAATTTTCTAAAGTTTTAAAAATATACGTGTTTGAAAACAACATGTTGTAATGAAACAATAATGTCATTGATGTTATTCAATAACGTCATCTTTTTTAAAAAAAAAAATGACGTCTTAGAAACAGAGACTAAGATTAATTTGATGATGAAATAGAATTTTAACCTAACTTTATCCTTACACATTTTTAATAAAAATATCACTAAGGACAATTTATTGTACTTATTAAATATGAAGTGTGTGTATCTGTACATGTTGCACAGTGAATGACTACAATAAATACATGTTTATGTATATCAACTTAATTTCATAGATGTTATTAAAGTAAAACATTTATTAAAGACGACATTTTTATCGGTTTGGCGTTGACACAGTAAACGATATTTAATCATGTCGCTTTGGCGTGGAAAGGGTTAATGATGCACACTGCATATACTCCAGGGATGGGGTAATTGAAAAAAGTAATTGTAATTGACTGTAATTAATTACATTTTTTGAAGTAATTGGAAGTAATTTGTAATTGAACATTTTTTCAATTACTTGTAATTGTAATTTAATTAATTACACTGAAAAAATACCATGTAATTTCAATTACTTTTTCAATTACATTCAATTACTTTATATAATACACATTCATGATATATTCATGATATATCGTCACCACTACCTCCCCATTTTACTGGTTTATTTTATTGTTAAACATATCCTCAATCTTTCAGTTATACAAAATTTTAGGTTAATGCTTACAAAAAAATAATTAAATGATTGGCTTGATAATAATAAACTAGTTTCTTTCTAATCATTATGTAAATTTTGAATTTTTTGATCTATGTTTATAAATATGAATTTTGAACCACCTTTCTTAGGTCTATTCAGCTATGAAACACACATTTATTATATTTCCATCTTTGCTGTTTGATCAATAATAAAGAAAAAGAAGGTGTGTGTCATTTAATTAAGTTCTCTCTTGTTGGGAAGAGATAATTGCCCTCCAGATCAAAGCTTTAAATTGCAATCAAAACAAATCAACTCCTCTAAAGAGATATTCATTCCATGATTTAGAAGACAAAGCCAATGGAGATAATTATTTCAATTTAAAATGCTCCGCTAGCTTAAGAAAAGAAAAACTTTCAATTTGATAATTATTTTAACAAATAAACAGATTTTTATGAATGAATTTTCTATCTGTACAATTCTGATTTATGAAGTAAAATTGTTCAACGTAAATAGCAATTTAGGATGTTCAGGTTACCTTCAAAGGAAATATTCAATTTGAAGGGTTACAGTTGCGACTCATTTCAGTCTATTAAAATACTCACTTTTAATCAAATATCATAAGCCATGCAATTTGTGTACATGTAGGTTTTGTGTGGTGGAAACTGCATCAAACTGATCTTGGATAGTTCTTTAAGAGATTCTTTAATGTTTATAAATTATACCACAATGATACACAATGCCTGTAGCATATTATTTCTTGTATTGTTTGTGCAGAGGCTGGGCCTATATACAAATAAATGATGTTCTGTATATTCATTGACAAGGATTATAAAAATTTTCAAAAAAATCAAAAAATGTAATTTGTAATTTAATTAATTACTTTTGCAAAGTAATTGTAATTTAATTAATTACATGTCTTAGAAAGCCTGTAATTTAATTGTAATTTAATTGAAGAAAAAGTCAAAGTAATTGTAATTTAATTAATTACTTTTTAAAGTAATTGAACCCATCCCTGATATACTCCGTTTCTTATGATATTTGCAGAAAATTAATCTCATCTTCTTTTTAAAAAAATTAACAGCAGAGATACTGAATTCCATTATTTTATTTATGACCTAATATAAAAATGGACAAGGAAAACATTCACATATAGTAGTAAATTATAAATGAATTTAAATGAAAATAAATTTTAAATAATTACACTAAACCAAGAACACATACAGGATATATTGTATTTACGTTTTAGACATACAGATAATTCACACCATTTCACCATTTCTCTGAGTCAGCCTAGATTACAGAATATCTAATAAGTTATATGGCTGAATAACCAAATCTGGTGGCCATGGAGGCAGCCAAATCCGTGATTGTCTACAAGGTAAAACCCTGACAAGATGGGTACAGTCCACTAATTGTTTTCCCATAGGCGGCAATGTTAACGTTTCTTCACATAGCAAAGTCCCTAATTTTCGTTCAGCAGTGAGTGACCCCTCAAATCAAAGCACATCAAGTTGTCTTCCCTTGGTTAAAATCTCGAGGTGGCATGTCTGATTCGTTTTCCGGCAAAATGCGTCTGTCTGCGTTAACCTCTGAAAATGAAAGTGAAAGTAGGGGAATTCCAGACTTCTCACTGGTGTTATAATACATAAAATAATTCTGCTGATCTTATTGATAAATTACATCTGCCAAGCTTTTTTGCAAGGGAACATACTCCTAGCTTATCGACAAGTATGAGGCTCAGTTTAATACATTATCACAGTTTTTTTTATTCAGGTCTGCAAATTAAGGAACTTGTAATTTTTTCTGCACTACTTTCTTCCCCTACCGATTCTAAAAATAATTAGAGGTATGTACCCAATATAAATCATGAAGATGCATACATATTTTTCTAATTTCTACTTGTTCAAAAATCAGAATATAATCAATGCATTAAATGTTGAAATTCAATGAAGCATTGATTTTGTTAAATGAAGTGCCACATCTAAGTAGAACTTTCAGCGTATATAAAATTACATTATACTAGTATCTGTCTTTCTTCTTATTTAAAGACATTTAAATTGTGTAAGAAAAAAGATAAATATCTTACTGGCGCATTTAAATCATGTACACGTAAGAGCAGAAAATTACTTGACTGTACATTTAAACCTTTCAAAATGACGAAATAACATGGGTTATTTAAAAAAAAGATAAAGAAGTAAATTAGCTGGTCAATATATTGGTGGCAGCCATGTTGGATTGACTGGTAAGCAAAACACATTTTTCATAGCTTTAGTACATTTCATTTAAAACTAACAATTTCTGTGGTTAATTTAATACAGGTATTGTGCAAAAAAAAAAAAAAAACATCATTCACGTTTCTTTTTTATTCACTTGATCGCAGTTATTGATAAACTAAAAGCATTTTATGTAAATCTGTGCACTACATCTTACTCTTATATGTGTAAAATCTGTTCTTTCTGTTCTAGTTATTTCCATATTTAGCTGAGCAGTTTTTCGTGCTTCAGACATTTCCAATGATAATTAAACCAATAAACTTTTAATTGATAAAATGTCAGATTTATTTTACCATTTTCTAACACGTACAAAGCTATCTGATTAACAGATCGCGATCATGAGACCGACAAACCAGTAATGGATCCATGGTTCGGCGCTCAAGACATCCTCCGCTGTGACCTATGCAGGACTGATTTTGTCCAGAGCCGTTGTGAAGTCTGTCAAATTAAACTTTGCAAGGCTTGTGTTGGGGAACATCTCTCTGATTCAACCAAAAATCATAGAGTTGTTCCATACAAAGCAAAGGGTCCAGATCCTAACTATCCAGAATGCCCAAATCATGCTCCAAAACTTTGTGAACTTTACTGCGAGGAATGTGACACTCCTGTCTGTTCTACCTGCATCTCCTCTGGAAAGCATCAAGGACATAAAATTTCAGATGTTCTACAAAATCTCATGATCAACTCCGAAACAAAACAACTGGAGAAAAATCTGAGAGAACTTGACGAAAAGATTTGTCCACAATATGAAGAAATTTTCTCAGAGTTAAATTGTGAGATAGCCAACATAGCAGCCCACTATGAGAAGCTGACATCAACTATTACTGCTCATGGAGAAGACTGGCTCAGAGAAATTGAAACAATTATGAAGAAACTCAAATCTGAAATTGATGACATGAAAAAGAAACACCTGAGTGTCCTAACTAAGCAGGAAGAGGATATTACAAAGAAAATTTCTGAAGTGAAAAAGAGCATTGCTGAAATGAAAAAGATTCTAGAAAACAAAGACAGGTCCCTTATTTCCTCATACCAGTCCAGAAATGCTGAATTTAGAAGGTTTCCTCCAAAGCTAAAAGCTTTATTACCCAGTTTTTCTGCTCAACCAGTTCACAAAGATATTGATTGTCAACAATTTGGTTCATTGACAAAATTATCCATGGAAACAGTGGAACATAGCTTCATCATGGATACCCAAGAAGCTGCGTCTTCTCAACTTGTAAAATCTCCGCTTAATTTACCAGAGCTCGTCATCACCTTAGACGTTCTGGACAGACTACGTGGTGTTCTATGTCTCAATGATGAAGAAATCTGGACATGTGGGCAGACAAAATTCCTGAAACTCCACAACGTACCTCAGGGGGAAAAGGTGAAGTCAATCAAAACAAAGTCAGAGGAATGGCCAAATGACATAGCACTGACAAAGGATAGAGATCTAGTACCGTAAATCTGGAAATTTTTACGTCGATTTATTTTTGCGAATCTGGGTCAAAAGTCTGTTTATTAATTTTTACGTTTAAAATTTTTGCGAATCGATCGTCATTTGAACTAAAATATAAAAAGCTCTTAAAATTTTCTTAAACGTTTGTAAGTTACGTATGTACATACAATAAATTACGAATAAACATACAATATTAAAATACGCCAACGTTAAATAATCAGATAAGAATATGTGAAAAGATAAACCATCCAAAGTGTTGAAAGTTTTCATAACATTTTCATAAATCACACATGTACATAGAATATATATAACGATGTAATCTTTAAGTAATCTTTAGATAAAAACATTTTTTGTTGTCGATTTATTTTTAAGAAAAATATTTTTGCGAATGCAATGCATGCGCAAATTTGCTAAAAATTTATCTACAGCAAAAATTTCCAGATTTACGGTATATATCGACTCAGATAAACGTACTGTCAACGTTGTGAAGAATAAAGAGATACAGGAAGTGATCACACTGCAGGAATGGAAACCTAACAATGTCTGCAGTACATCCTCGGGAGACATCCTGGTTACAATGGACAAAGCTGAAACGAAACAATCCAAAATTGTCCGATACTCTGGTTATGTAGAGGTTCAAAAGATTCAGTATGATGACAAGGGTAAATCTTTGTTTTCTTCCTACTACCTCAAACACATCTGTGAAAACAGAAACCTAGATATTTGTGTAGCCGATCATTTAGCTCGTACATTGGTAGTAGTCAGTCATGCTGGAAAGCTCCGATTTAGATACACTGGCCACCCGTCCATAGCTTCAGGAGCATTAACACCATATGGGATAACGACAGACAGCCAGGGCCAAATCCTGACATCAGACTGCGACAGAAGTTACATTCACATCCTAGATAAAGATGGACTGTTCCTCCGTTACATAAACAACTGCAATCTTCAGAGCCCATGGGGTTTATGTGTGGATTCCAGAGATTATCTTTTTGTGGCCGAGCTGAAAAGTGGTGAAGTGAAGAAAATTAAATACATGAAAATATTGTAAACAAATCATTGTATACAATATTTCTTTTCCAAAAATGACTGTATATGGAGAACTGGTCGGCAACAAGGTAATGATGACACTCAAGCTTTCCGTATTTTTTTTTTAAATTAAGGTTTGTAATTCCGTTTTCAATTTTTCTTTTCAAATTTACACCCACTATTATGGTGTTACATTATGATTTCATTGGAACGGCAATGTAATAAAAATTTATAGTCAGTGAAGTAGAAAAGTGTAATCTAGTAGTCTGACTCCATTGATACAGGTATTTCTCATTTCTCACTGCTCAGAAATGTATGAAAAATTTTGATTTTGATTATTAGGATTAGTATTCATTTAGGAGCGTTTTACCCTTTATATATTTACAAGAATACAGAAACTGTAGATTTAATATTAAAAAAATAAAAATCATTTTTAAATCATTTATAAAGTCAATAGACTCATATAAGGTTATAAAACTGTAGATTTTTACTTGTTATATTATGAATTGTTCTCTAACTATATTTACAGATCAATTATTTAAGGCTAATACAAGATAGTTAAACTGTTATTTTTACCTCTTATATTAGAATTTATTGACTTGTGATTATTATGTATAATGTTTGTATGTCAAAAATAAAGGCTAACTCAAAACTGTAGATTTTTACTCCTTATATTTGATATTATTGTCTCATTTTTATAGGTCAATCAATCATAAACAAATAATTCTGACAAAAGGAAACATCTTTCATCATTCTGAAAATGTACAATTTTCTATCCCAAAGAGTCCAAAACACAAACATGAATTGATGGGAATAAAGCCAGAACAGTGGGTGAGAATTACAAAATATGAAATAAATCTGTATTCTTGAGTTGCTTTTATGCTTGAAATAAAATTTGCTTCTGGAAGATGCTCTGTCCAATTAAAAACTGTGTATTTTTCAAAACTATGTAAAATCTATTTAATAAAATGATTAATATATTTATTAATTTGGTTTCAACACCATGAAGTTGTAAAAATACATTATTTATTCTGTAAAATACAAATACTTTCAAAATATCATTTGTCACATGGTATGAAGTCTTTGACCAATTCAAAATCATATATATATAATAATTATGGTTTGCGCATGCGTTAGAAAATGGACGGTCGGAAATTTTGAGAGAAGATATTTGTTTATTTAACCGTGATATATCTTGTTTTTGAGGGATATTAGGATAACAGTGTATGTCAGAGGATAATAAGGATAATAAGAGACGATTATCTTCAGACGGTTTCACACCTAAACCGGACAGTAAATCAGCCAAAACAGGAAGGGTGGTCAATGGCGGGCATGTTGACAAAGGCACATTCATGAATACACCACCGCCTTCACATTCGAACACTGCGCAGCCTGCATGGGTAGATCAACTCATGATTCGAATCACCAAGACCTTGACACCAAGATCTCCAAAATCGATAAAGTAAGTGAAGATTTGACCTTACTTCGCAATCGCATTTAAAATATCCAAACTAGAGTCGGTCATCTGGAGAAGTTTACCGGGAACTTGGGGAACTCCATGGGGGAAATCAAGAAATCTCAGATGTGCCTAAAAGGCGATGTTGAAGAAACGGTGAAGGAAATTAGGGAATCGAAGTTAGTGAATGAACAATTACAAGGCAAAATTACAGATTTGCAGGCAAGAAGTATGAGAGACAATTTACTCTTTTTTGGACTGGCAGAGTACCGTGGAAATGGCAAGGAGAACTGTACAAACCTCATCAATGAATTCTGTGAAGCGGAACTGAATATCTATGGAATAAAGGCGAACATTGAGCGTGCCCACAGGATCGGAAGATATCTCAACAACAAAACAAGACCTATTGTTGTTAAATTCCCTAGAGAAATTGTCGAGAGGCGGAAAGCCTTAATGCCCGTTCTGCAGATGGTGTTAGGACAAAACAAAAGAGCAGTGATGAAATACGACAAACTTTACATCGATGGTGAACTGTACAAAGGAGAGATGGGGGACACTGAGACTGGCAGAGATGGGGGACACTGAGACTGGCAGAGATGGGGGATACTGAGACTGGCAGAGATGGGGGACACTGAGACTGGCAGAGATGAACAAGAAGATGACGAGCCCGTCGAGACACTAACGCAGGGTGCTGGAAATTGGGGAGGAGTCCCAGTATAATATTGACGAATCGATCGACTTGTTTACATCACGTTTGACTGACCTTATGCGACCCTATTTTGAAATTAACAAAAGGACCCCAAAACCAGTTCATAACACAGGTGGAACAAGTTCTTATTCATGTTTGAAACCACCAGACAAACCTTGGTTCAATGTAGAACTCAGAGAAAAGCATAGGATATATCGTTCAGCACTCAGCCGTTTTAATAATACGAAAAACAGTGTAAATCATTTGAATTTAATAGAAGGTAAAAGAAATTACAAACGTTTAGAAGCAAAACTTAAGCGCCAGTATTTACGGAAAGAAGGCGATTTACTGGATCATCTCCGTAAAGACAACCCAAAAAATATTTTATAAGCATTTTCGAAAAAGAAAACAGAAATATACATCAATTGATTTGGAACTGTTCCGAAGGCATTTCGAATATTTATCTACATCTAGTACTAATATGAATAACGATACCCCAGTGGACACAGGAAATACTGTGTTTGAAGAATTAGATATTGAAATTTCCGAAAAGAAATATCGGATGCTATAGATAGTCTTAAACGAGATAAATCTCATGGCTTTGATTTTATTTTGAATGAATACTTTATAGAATTCAAGGATATATTTTTGCCATATTTACATATTATTTTTAATCGTATCTTAACATCTGGCTATTTTCCAACACAATGGTCTAATGCTGTAATAGTTCCTGTTTTTAAGAAAGGTGACCCTGATGACCCCAATAATTATCGAGGTATAAGTCTTATTAGTTGCTTTTGTAAATTGTTCACCTCAATACTGAATAGAAGGCTAATACTGTGGGCATCCTCTAATAGTGTTATTACAGATGCACAGTTTGGTTTTCAACCTATGTTAGGTACTACAGACGCAGTATTTGCACTACATTGTCTTGTATCGCAAGCACTCCAAACTAAGAAACGATTTTACTGTTGTTTTGTTGATTATAAGAGGGCCTTTGACTCTATCATTAGGGAAAAATTATATAGAAAATTGAAGTATTAAGGTATACAAGGGAAGCTACTTACAATTATTCGTTCCATGTATTCTAGAATTAGAACCTGTGTAAAATCTTCTGATCGTTTTTCTAATTTCTTTGAAAGTCATGTTGGTCCTTTACAAGGAGAAGTTTTATCTCCCATGTTGTTTGTATTGTCCGTTAATGATCTTGAAAATGAGTTCATCAAACAGGGTAACACGCCTACTGAATTAGAGTTATTAAATCTCTATCTTTCAATGTATGCAGATGACATGGTATTATTTTCAGAATCAATTAATGAAATACAAAGCATGTTAAATACACTACAATTATATACACGTGATGAGTGGGGTCTAGATGTAAATGTATCAAAAACTAAAGTTGTTGTGTTTAGAAATGGTGGGAAAGTCCGCACAAATGAGAAATGGCTTTATAACGGTGAAAATAAAGAAATAGTGGACCAGTTTGTTTATCTAGGCATTGTGTTCAATTATAATTGTAAATTTTTTATTACTCAAAAACAATTAGCGACACAAGGTCGCATAGCTATGTTTGCTCTTAAATCAACCATGAAACAGCTTTATTTAAACCATTGTACTTTGTTTTCTATTTTTGATACTTATGTGTGCAGCATTTTAAACTATGGATGTGAAGTTTGGGGATCCCACAAAGGCCAGGACATTGAAAAGGTTCATCTTGAGTTTTTACGATATGTACTTGGTGTCCGTAAAACTACAAACACAACTATGTTGTATTTTGAGACAGGACGTATACCTATGTATCTTATTCGTATTTATCGAATGTTTAAATTCTGGTTTAAATTATTGCAGTCTGAAAATTGTATATTAAGAGCTTCTTATGATTGGTCGTATTGTATTTGTTATATGTGGAACGACCAGAGGAATTTAAACAGTCGTATTTGTTTGCCGATTATTCGGCAAAGACTTAATGACCACTTCATACAAACCTTATATAGCAAAATGCATATAGAATCAAAATGTTATATCTACAAACATTTAGTTGATAATTTTTGCTTACGGTATTATTTAGAAAAATCAATACCAAAGCTGTACAAAAAATGTATTTCCAAAATGAGGTTGTCCTCGCATAATCTATTTATTGAAACGGGTAGGCATAAAAATATACCAAGAGACAAAAGATTTTGTAAAACATGTACTACTGAAATTGAAGATAAATATCATTTTATACTTGTATGCCCAGTGTATACGGCATAACGATCAAAGTTATTGAAAAAGTATTATTGGTGTAGGCCATCCATGTACAAATTAATACAGTTATTAAGTGTGAACAATGTAAAAGAATTGTTTAATTTGGGAAAATTCATTTATAAAGCCCTTGCGCTAAGAAATGATTTAAACATATAATGTTGTGTCACATGGTTTATATGTATGTATATGATATAGATTTATAAGGACTGGCCATCCATTTTCGTCTCCTTTGTTATAAACTTGTAATACTGCTATAAGACGTATGTCTTCTGCAATAAAGAAATTGAATTGAATTGAATTATTCTTGAGATGATGATGATGAATTCATCCATGTTAAGTCAATTTCCTTGAGGCTTAAGCAGCACATCTTGATAATTATATATATATATATATATATATATATATATATATATATATATATATATATATATATATATATATATATATATATATTTGACCTCCTAACTTATTTGTAATCAACAAAGTATTATTAAATCATAAATAAATATTGTCACATAAAATAAACCCCAAAATTTAAATCTTTACAGTCTGTTCTCTTTTTACTTCCTATAACCAACCTCATTATAATTTGCAAAAATAAACATTTATTTAAAATAAAATTTCTAAAGATACCCTGTTTATTAGGAAAAATGATAACAATTTCAGAAGGAAAGCAAATTTTATTACATATGGTAATAATAAATACAGTCATGATAATATTGCAAGATTGCAAAATATTCATATTTTAAAAATACCAAGATATTGAATCCAAAATAATCATTATTCAAAGCAATATGACACTAGCATACATGTCTCTCAAAATACATTGTAATGCAAAGGATTTTACAAAAAGGTATAAATTTGGGAACAATTTGTTTAAAAATATAATTGTATTCTAATTATACTTTTCTATCAAAATCAAATTTTTAAGACAATGGCTGTGAAAGACTTTCAAAATGCAGTGTTTAATACATATAATTTCAAACATTTAATCTCAGTGTTATTGAATTTCATTGGCTAGACATATGATTAGAAATACAGAAAAACACGCTTGTAACAAAGTGCCAGGGATGGATGATTTAACTTCTTTATAAACATAATTCAGTATATCCATTAAGTTTACAATATATTTTAAAGCCACGGGGAATAAAAATTCCTTATAAGCGTGTTTTCCTGTAATGATTTGGTTTTTCATTCGGTAAAAAAAATATATAGTGCATTTCATTCCATCTAAGTACACATATATCAGAAATCTATCATAGCTGGGTCTATTTTCCTTCTGTCCAGCTGAACTTTCTCTACTTTTTCAGACAAACAACCGCTATCACATGTACAGTTTTCACATTTTTGTTTGGTGTTTGTTGATCCCAAGCTTTCTGTTGTTGATGCATTATCAGTTGTCTCTTTTGAAGTGTCCATATTTGTACCAACGTCAGTAGCTTCTGATTTCTGAGCCAACATTTCATTCAGCTAAATATCAAACAACCATATGAATTTATTCATCTTAAAATGAAGAAACCTCTCAGAAAATTTATTATTTTTTTAAAATAAATATGCCCTTTAGCCACACACCAAAAAATAAAAACATAAACAAATATTGTTTTGTGCAATAAAAAAACTCCCAAAAGATAATAGCTTCACAAAAAGATGAATATTAAAATTTGTCTGGAATATAAACACCTTTTAAATATTTATTTTTCAAATGCTTACATAAACTTAAAATAAATAAACCATGCTAATAGAAAAATGAAACTACATGAAAAGCACTCACCCTGCGTCTCTCTTTGTGACTTTTTCCAATTCCAAGTCTGTGAAGGAAAAAAAAATCAATGACTAATTAGAATTATCTACAAACAATTCCATATAGATCTGAACAGTTTATACTAAATTTATGCCCTGTTAACACGGAGAGTTTAATTCGAATTAAACGTAGTTACTGCGAATTAAATTTGATCCGTGTTCACACGAAGAATTTAATGCGAATTAGTATAATTCGAATTAGTTTACTGCGTATTATATTATTTCGCATTAGCTCCATGTGAACACTAAGCGAGGCTAATTCGAATTAAATTTTGACGCATGCTTAAGGGCAGAATTAGGTCACAGGCCACAATTTGATGGTCAAATAAAGGTACTTGTGCTATTTCTAAGTGGAAAACAAAGGAAAACTATGCTAATCACTAAAATGTGTACAGACACTATGACATTATGTCAAATGCATATATGCTCTGCACAATATGACGTGATTTGTAAATGACGTCGTAGTAGCCTCACTGAATAGACTTGTTGTAGAAACAAAATTATAATTCGCATTAGTTTACTTCACATTAGCTGTCGTGTGAACACAATTTAATTTGCATTAGTTTAATTTGCAACATTTTACTTCGCATTAATTTACTGCGAAATAAACTCTCCGTGTGAACATGGCATTAGTACATGTATTGACACATCTATTGATTCTGTTGAGTGAATACCTTGGCAGTCCTCTATTGAGTCCCTCCAGTAGAATACAGGCTTTACACAGGGGGTTACTGGAAATGTAGCCACACCTCTCACAGGTACCTGTCAACAGAAATAATACATCTGACAAGCACATCAACAGAAAGGATATTTCTAACAAGCACATCTACAGAAATACATCAGAATGCAGGGGCCATCAAATTCACAATTTTGGAAGAAGCACCCTTGTTATAATAACCATCTATTTGGTTTGTTTGCTTAATGTCCATGAGCAGAGAAAAAGATTATTAAAGAAATAATGCACTTTCACTATACAATCAATAGACCCCCTCCCCCACCCTCTAACAGAACCCGTTCCTGGGGCCACAAATTTCACAATTTTTGAAGAGGCACCCTTAATCATCAGAATGATGATTAATACATTAATATACAGGGGGAGAGAAGAAGATTTTTAAAGAATTTATGCATGTTCACTATATGATCTTTAGAGCTAGTGGTGTTCCTATCATTGATTATAATCGAAAATTAGTCGATTGCTGGCATAATCCAAGCTCTCAATTACAAAATTTTTAGTCTGATTAATCAGGTTATCTTTTATTTTACAAGTGTAATAGTTTTTTTATGTACATACTTTGGATTCTACAAAATGAACGAAGAACCAGCTGGACCACCACAGAAAGTTGTTATTCACCCACTCTTACCATTTAATATACTAAATTGACAGACTTTGTAAATGTCCGCTTAAAATTGATAATTAGTTAGTTACAGTAGTCCGATCACCCATTATGAAATTCTTACTGATTCCCATCACTATTTAGAGCCCCACCATAACTCCTGACCAATGGGCCAAGAATTTCACATTTTTATTTTGTAGAGAGCTGAATGCTTATTACAATTATTTCAACAGTTTGACGGCTTGATGTCCAAGAGTAATGAATATTTTTAAAGATAGCACTAATTTTCATGGCATAAGCCCCACCCCTAAGGCAGAGGGACAGGGACTATGGAATTCATAATTTTTGTTCCTCTTCACCCATAGGTACTATATGCCAAAATTACTTGAATGGTTCAAGAAGCTGAAAATGTTCAAAAGTTTTAAATTATCACCAATGCATAACCCTTATCGCATGAAAACAGATGAAAACATATGTAGAAGCACAAATTTTCGTGGGTATAAAATTTCTTGATTTGTCATCTAAAATGGTTTCATGGGCATTTAATTTCGTTGTTTCAAAGGTAACCCTATGCAATATATATACATTAGAAAATTTCATGTGGGATTTAATTTCATTGATAATTGTTAACAACAAAATAAACGAAATTTAATCCTCAATGAATACATGTAATTGTGCTTTTACAGTAACAATAAGTCACCTGAGTGACTTAGGTGACCTTAAAATCAACCACAAGCATATATTTTGAACATGTATGAACTTGTTTAATAATCCAATTTCATGGTCTTTTTGACTTTTAAAATTATGCTAGCAAAAACTAAACATTCATCAGAAAGAGGTACCTTGTACTGGTAGTTTCACTGCTTTCTTCACAGACAGACTCTCTCCAGAGTGAACGATATCTGAAATTATACAAATCACTACTGAGACAATTTATCTTCTCAAACTGTTAAAGAAATGGACATTTTATTATATATCCTTAAATAAACTAATTCTCCATTGTACTTATTGATTTTAACTGGACGTGCTGTGTTTGTTCAGATAAATAAGGATGTTTTTTTGGGGCTAGTTGCCAAAATACTCTAAAGAGGTACTTTTGTTGTATAAATTGTAATAGGTGTCCAAAATACACCCTCAAATGCATTGCTTCTTCTTACAATAATAATGTTTTTTGAACTTGAATGTACGAAATTTTGACCTACCAATTATAGCACTTGGTCGGATCTTTTCTAAGTCTTTTATGTAAGCCCTTGCAAATCCCCTAGAGACAGTAAAAAAAACCCAACAAAATAATGAAGAAAAGCTTATGGACAAAAATTAGAATGATACTTTGAACATATTACATTATTATACTTTCATGTTAAATACTAAAATCTGATTGGTTTAGAGGCATTTAACAATCCGTAATGTTACCCTCAGCATTAGCAACACACTTGACATTACGAAAATATCACATGCGTTCAAATGATGCGCGTACGGTTCACCGTAGAATTCTCAAAACGTCGGTTGTGCGTTTGCAACTGACGCGTCGGTTGACAATGGTTTTCCTTGGGGTGTCAATTTCAACTGTTACCCTCAAAAACGTGCACTATTTATATAATGACATACCCTTATCTTACCTATAAGCATTAGGTGAATATATACACTCTGTGGAGAAATAATCCAGCTTCTTAAAGTAGGCATACCTAGTAAACGGAAACAATATATATTATGTACAGTTGAACTTCGATATCTCGAACACAGATATCTCGAATACCATGGATATGTCGAAGTCATTTTGAAGTCCCATTTGCTTATTCCTTAAGTATTTTGAAGTCCCATTTGCTTATTCCTTAAGTATTTTACCCTGGATATCTCAAATCCTCCATTACCTCGAAGTATTTTCATGGTCCATTTTAGTTCGAGATAACGAGGTTTGACTATATTCATGTTTTCCTTAATTTACTGACATGTATTCTCTAAGATATAAAAATAAATGTGTATAATCTACAAACATTCTATAGTTCAGCAATCGAGAAAGGTTAAAACCTATAGTTTCTCCTGCCTTACCAGTGGTGGATTTATCAGTTTTCATATGATCTAGAGGTTTGACTTACATGACTATCTCTTTCTCGTATGTATACTTGAATGGTTTACTTCTGGGAAGGGCTCCCTCAGTGCCCTGTAATAAAGATCATAGTCTGAAATTATCTTGTCAAGTTCTTCAAACTCACATTTAAATATTTTTTTTATACCTTTAAAAATTTTTTCCTATATAAATCTATACCCAAAAAAGTGTAACATTTCCAATGTTTTACTGAGCGGTCCATAAAAAATCGATTTTTACTACTGAGTGAATGATTAGGGCTTTGAAGGAGAAACTGTCCTAGTCATTGCAAATAATTTCCAAAATAAAAACCTCTCAATGATGTTTTTACCTGGTACTTCTACCATTTCTAAATCATTAGGTTCCAATTTGTTATCAGTTTATCATTCATAACTAAGCATGACTGCATTCAAGATCGTACATGTAGCAGCTAGCCTAACTGCTAGGTTAGATATCTACATGTAGGTCATATTGAGCACACTGTATAAATAATGCTTATCATAGCTAGGCTAGCATATCGTTCAAGATTGTAGCAGCTATGTCAAGCTAAGTAGCCACTATGATCTTTAAGGCAGCCCAGATTTATAACAGATTTTTCTATGTTTAGCTACTGATCTGTAATTTACATCTGACACTGATGTTTATTTTGTTACCGTGGTGATGGCTGTACACCTCTGTAATCTTCCAATGTCACCTCTCAGTACTGTAATTATAAACAAAATCAAAATTTATCGCACAAATTTAAAACTTTATGTCATTATGAAATCATCTTTCTTCTAACCTGTGCAAAAACAACATCAATTGTACAATCATGTTAACAAAAATATACAACTGTACAGTCATGTAAACAAAATTATAGAGTCCACTTTTCAAACATACATATAAATGACAAACCAGTGTACTACATTATAAGACAATCTGAAACATTTCAATCAAAAAGTTAATGACGAATTTCCAAACATCTTTCTGTGAAATCACTCATTTTTGAGAGATTTTAATTTTTGTTGTTTTTCATGGTATGAAAAGACCCATGAATTCATGTCTGCAATGTGAAAACTGCACACTGCAGTGTAACGTTTCTCCTTTAACCATGAAATCATATCCCTTCTAACCAGTAATTTTTCATCAAATCTTGAAAATTTGACCCCACGAAAATAAATGATTTTACAGTACCTGTTCATTTTTAATACCGTATATACTCGCCTATAAGTCAGTTTTTTGGGAGTTAAATTTTGATCCAAAACTCATCATCCGACTTATACTCGAGTTATAAAAAGACTAGTATTTTAGTGGGTCAATCCCTTCAACTTAAGCTTTAAGAATACAACCGACTTATAGGCGGACCGACTTATAGGCGAGTATATACGGTATGTTTAACTTACCATTCATAATCACAGTTTCAGCTATATCATCTGCATTGTGTCCTGAAAATTAAAACAGAATATTCAAAGACAAACTCTAATCAAAACTACTTGTTCAAAAGAGGAAAATGGGGAATAGAACAGGTCTTGAAATTACAGAGTAAAGGAAATGGATAAAACTTGTTTTTTAACCCACAATTATTCAGATTTCTTTCCACCTTTACTTACCATCTTAAAAGATGTTATTTATATGTTTTCATGTGACATTTTGCAAAAGGTATAGGTGTATCATTATCTATCCTTCACCTTACAGTGCCTGTTACTATTGTATCCACTTTCATAAGAAGGGCACCTCTATCTACAGCCTACTGCCTACAAACTAACCAGTTACTATCCTATCCACTTTCATCAGAAGGGCACCTCTATCCAAGGCCTGACGCCTGAACACACCACAGAATGTACCTAAAAGTATCAGATATTTTCACAGAATTCACCTCTGAATCACCAGACCTTTAAAACTATGGACAAATCTCAGTATTTAAAGTTTGACTGCCTGTGCAGACAACATCAAGATATCAAAGAGTTTGAAACTTCTCAAATGCTGACTTTCTACCTTGTTTCCATGTAAATCTATTAACTTCTTTAAAAGTTTGATTTTCTTTATAAAGTAATGTAAGTAGGGGAAAATCTTTGCATTTTGTTTCACATGAAACAATTGTATATTCTCTTTTTCTTTTATAAAGACCTTTGATAAATTTAAATTTGTAACTACTGGTATATTTCGTATAAGATACATACAGTTATTTTTCAGACCAATCTGTTTGACAATAGCGTCCATGGTCCATCCATACAACTCTTCATAAGACACAATCTTCAGAGGCAACTCATATTGTTGTTGATTTCTCTTTACTGTCTGAAACAATCAGGAAAACTTTAACTGACAATCAAATATAATATTTACACATACATTGTGTTTAGCTACATGTATCATAGATATATAAATTTGTATGTAATGGACAGATTCAGCTGACCATTTTGCCACCTCTGAATAAGCAGGACAATTATCACCAAAAATATCAGCCAAAGGTTATTCAATTTCCTTTTTTTTTTTAATTTTAAATTTTATTACTTGGTATTTTACCATTGCTTTGTAATCATCAACTCACTAGAATTTCTCTCTCGATCAAGAAAATGTGCTAGGCTAAATTTAATATGTTTCAGCTAATGAGATGCTTTTATATCTAGTAGCAGAGATCTTTAATTATTTTGTTGTACAAACCTTCAACTAGCTCCTAACCATTTGTTGATGTAAACAGCAAATACTTCCCTACTGATTAAAAGATGCATTGATTGTTTAAATAAGGTACATTCCTAATGAGACAAGTTCTGAAACTATATATATACAAATTTAATAAATATTTTGGTTTGTCCAAAATTGATCAATATTTTTCTGCAGATATTTCTGCAAGGTTTTTAAATCATATATCTACTGAGTATTCAAAGGTTTTTAAATTAGAAAACACCCATAGTTTACAGGGTATTCAAAGCTATTTAAATCATCTGACCAAATATCAAGGGTTAAAATTCGAATTCTATGCATATTAGCTGGACAATATATCAGAGGCCAGCCATGTTGGATTTATGGGTAAGGAAAGACAAATTTACACAGCTTTAGCACATTTCATTCTGATAATTTCTGTCAACAGAGAAATTTACCATATGAAAACTTCAAAAATTTAGAAAATCCTTCAAAGCCTGATTCATGTTATTAATTCGACAAAATAGGTATAGTGGTTATTTCTGCAATACCATGTATCCTTAATAATGTTACATGTAATACTGAATGAAACATGTACCACAGAGTACAAAGATATTGGTATGCAGAGGAATATTCACACAATAAATTTCTTAGGCACAGGGAAAAAAATCTTTACTATTACATGCCATAAAAAAATAAATAAAAAATAGAACTGGTATGTAGGTTTTGGTTTTTATTTCTTTTTACACAAGGGCAGAACTTTGTAAATATAATTTTGTAAAGACAGTTTGAAGCTCTCTTCTTCTTGCCATATAAGTAACATCTTTTTTCCCCCTAATCTACCTGATAGCTCTACATGTAAAAAGTTATCCTATAGCCTAGAAACGGTAATATTTGAAGAAAAATGCATATACATACAATTTAGATGTTTTACAATGAGAAATTGGATTGGCTCATAAAATTAGCATCAGTCGGGTAACCCAACACAAACATATTTTTTACCCTTTAGGTCTTATAGCTGTAATTACCCCAAAGTGTTAATTTCCACATTAACAGAATTCTTTAATAAGTATTTTATGTTCTAGTTCATTAAACACAGTTTAAACATATCCAAATTCAATTAATGAATTTGCAATTTCTGAGCATTCTCTTATACCCACTTTTCTGATCTATAGTTTCAGCTGGTCATGTGACCAACACAGCAGTTATGGACCCTAGGTACAGTGCTCAAGATGTCCTCCGTTGTGATCAATGTCAGACTGATTTAGTACAGAGCTTCTGTCAACTTTGTCACATTAAACTGTGTAAGGCCTGTGTTGGAGAGCACCTCTCTGATACATCCAGAAATCATAGAGCCGTACCATACACAGCAAAGAGTTCAGCTTCTAACTACCTGGAATGTCCAGATCATGCCACAAAGCTTTGTGAATTTTACTGTGAGAAATGTAAAGTTTCTGTCTGTAATACCTGTATCATGTCGAGTAAACATCATGGGCATAAAATTATAGGTATTCAACAAAATCTCAGCTCTGAAACAAAACAACTGGAGAAAAATCTTAAAGAACTTGAGGAAAAAATTGGTCCACAATATGAAGAAATTTTCTCTGAGTTAAAGTCTGAGAAAGCCAACATAGGAAAACACTTTGAGATGCTGACAAGAACCGTTACTAATCATGGAGAAGACTGGCATAGAGAAATTGACACCATTGTCAACAAACTCAAATCTGATACTGATGACATGAAAAACAAACACCTGGCTGACCTTATCAAGCAGGAAAAAGAAATTACCCAGAATATTTCTGAAGTGAAAAAAAATATTCTTGAAATGAAGAAAATTCTAGCAAACAAAGATATTTCCCTTATCTCTTCATACAAACCCAGAAATGATGAATTTAGAAAACTTCCTCCTAAGCTGAAAACTTCATTACCCAGTTTTTCTCCTCAATCAATCAGCAAAGAAAAAATTTATCAACAATTTGGTTCCTTGAGAGAATTATCCAAGGTAACAGAAGAAAACAGCTACACACTGCTTAATGAACCAAAGCTGATCAAAACCATAGAAACTTTGGACAAACTACGGAGTGTTGTTTGCCTCAGTGATGAAGAAATCTGGACATGTGGGCAAACAAAACTCATGAATCTCCACAACCTACAGGGAAAACTACTGGAGTCAATCAAAACCAAGTCAGGGGAATGGCCACAGGATATAGCACTGACAAGGAATAGAAATCTAATTTACATCGACTCTACTAGACGTACTGTGAACAAAGTGAAGAATGAACAGATACAGGAAGTGATCAGACTGCAGGAGTGGAAACCAAACAATATCTGTAGTACCTCCTCTGGAGATATTCTGGTTGTCATGGACAGTGATGATGGTAAACAATCAAAAGTTGTCCGATATTCTGGTTATGAAGAGGTACAAAGCATTCAGTTTGATGATGAGAGTAAACCACTGTATTCTTCCTACTATCTCAAGCACATCAGTGAAAATAGGAACCTGGATATTTGTGTGGCTGATTGTTCAGCTCGTGCAGTGGTAGTGGTCAGTCATGCTGGAAAGCTATGATTTAGGTACACTGGCCATCCATCTACTGCCTCTGGATCATTTAACCCATATGGCATCACAACAGACAGCCAGAGTTTGATCCTGACATCAGACTGTGAAAAGAATTGTATCCACATCCTAGATAAAGATGGACAGTTCCTCCGCTGCATAAATAACTGTAATCTAGACCGTCCAAGGGGTTTGTGTGTAGACTCAAAAGACAACCTCTTCGCTGCTGAGTTGCGCAGTGGAAAAGTGAAGAAAATCAAGTACATGAAAATACTGTAAACCAATTCTTCTATGCGATACATTTATTAATGAAGAGCCAAGGGAAAACCAGTCTGCAAAGATTAATTTTGCTGAAAGAGCTTTCGTGTTTTAAAAACAATTTATTAGGTCTTCAATTCTATTTCCAAATATTTCAAAATCTCAAAATCTGTAATTTTGTTATGTGTTCAAGGGAGCTGTTAATATAATGGCAATAGAAAGATGGACTTGTTTTCTTTGCTTTCTATCAAATAATGATCCCTCGATCCCTGCTTGTTGAATATTCTTTATAATCATGGTTAAACTTGTCTAATCCAGAAACCACAGGTTCCATAGAAAGTGGCTGGATTAGACAACATTTTAAACAATTGAATTTACTGAAAAGAACTACTGAAGATACCTTATTTTACGTGAGTACTTAATATTGCAAAATGATTCGTAGACGTCAAATCTCGAGAATATGAATTTGCGAGTGGACTGTTAAAGCAGAGTTTTCACATGGAAAAGTGAACAATTTTATTTCACAAGTGATGCTTCTCTTGAAACAATGCAAGTTTAAATTCCTCTTGTATATTTTTGAATCTATGGTATAAAATGTTTTCATCATTGCAAGATTTTGGAATACACAACATCCAGATTAGACAAGTTTTACTGTATTTCATTTTTAGTCCCCTACCAGTGAAACCGGAGGGGACTATAGGTTTCCTCTGAGTCTGTCTGTCCGTCTGTCTAGCTCTACCTCTGTCAGTCTGTCCCACTTGGTTTTCTGCACTTTTTTTCTAAATGCTTGCAGATATTGAGCTGATTTTTGGTATGTGAGTGTATCTTGATGAGTTACAGATCAAGTTTGCATTTCGTTCCGCTTCAATGATTTTTGATGGAATTACGACCTTTTCAATTTTTCACGGTTTTCCGCAATTTTTTTCTAAACGCTTGCAGATATTGAGCTGAGTTTTGGTATGTGACTTTACCTTGATGAGTTATAGACCAAGTTTGCATTTCTTTCCGCTTCATTGATTTTTGACGGAATTATGGCATTTTCAATTTTCATCGGGAACCAGATTACACTTGCCAGTAGGGGACTAGTATTCCTAATGCAATACTCTCAGAATGCTTGTTCATTTTGTCTTTATCTTTTGTTATGTGTAAGGATACGAACCCCAGTCTGAGGTACGATTCCAGATAAGGCCACATTTTTTTTTTATTAGTTGTTTTTCAAAACTGACCTACCCAAATTATTGACAATTTGAAAAAAATAGAATTTTTGTAAAATTTTTCTAATTTAACCCAAAAAATAAGACATTTAGCAATATTTCTCAAAGCTTAAATCTGAAAATTTTAAGATGATTAGCTATCAACATGATCAATATATCATATATTTATTAAAATGATGTTCAAGGTGTGGGACTTGATCCCCACTGAGCTACTGAAATATAACTGGCATGCAATTTTTTAACACCTAGAAAATTTGAATTCTATTAATGAAGAAGTTTTGAACACTGTTGAAAGAGGGAATTTTTTTTATTTTAATTTTTTGGGGAGGAAGGAGGGGGTTAATTTATACATTTTGTTTTAACAAATTCTTATGTAAATTTTTGTTTCTAATTTAATTTTTTTTTCTTCTACCAATCCAATTTTTGGGAAAAAAATATTGAAAAAACAACTAATAAAAAAGTGGCCTAATGTGATATAAAAAATCATAACTTTACAAAGCAATAATAGGCCAAGGGTCTGTGAATAGTGTTGTGGATATGAAACATTTCACTGTGGCTAGGATGCATAATCATTTAAATTTTATCCAAAAATCCCAAGTACACCTAAGGCTCATCTTATACAAGATTTTGATGACCTTACATGATGGATACATGTAAAGACTCATAAAAAACATACAGTAAAACATGTTTATTACAAGTGAACATATGCAAATTCATGTTTTCAACAAACATCTTCTTTCAGTCAGGGCTCAAAAATGATTAATAAAAACAATGCATGCAACTATTCAGCCCTATCTGATGAATCCTTTTAACATGTTTAACTGAACAAATAACCCAGTTTGGAAGGGACATCAGAAAAAAAAGAATGAGGGCAGCTTACCTCTAAGGAATCGTCCCTGTACCCAGTAATCCCCTCATCCACAGACAACAGCACCAGGTTAATGCCATAGTCGTACCTCTGGTTAAGGACTTTAAGGACATAAGCCAACACAGTAGAGTCTGTGAACAGCATAAATGTGTCTTTTAAAAAAGATCCTCTTGAAGTAATTGTGAAAGAGTACCATGATACATGTATTTGTAGAAAATGTTTATCATGAACATGGATACTGCAAACGTCACGCTTGTAACAAACTACTATTTTCTAACCCAGTACAAAAAATGATTTTTCTCTAGATATTATGCTTGTTATCAACATGACCATGAGGCAATTTCAGTCATCCTGCAATTTCCTACATCACCATGATCATTGGGGGAAAAGGCTAAAAGTTCATCATTTTATACACATTCTGCACAATAGTTTTCATTGATTGTTTCCAAAATCATTGTAACTTAAGATCTATATAATGCTCATTAATGATAGACTCAAAAGATACTGACTCCAATGCATACAAACTCCTAGCTAAAACATATTTATTAAGTGATTGTTCAGTAATAATGTAAATTTTTCAATCCTTACCTTTTCCACCGGAAGCTCCAATGGCTACTGTTTCCCCTCGAACAAAAAGATTGGCATCTGTGATGGTTTTATGCACCTCCTCTTCAAAGGCAAAATAGAAACAGTTCTTACACAATGCATCCCCCTGTAAAGACAAGGAAATGTTCATTAGGCCAAGCTTAAATTTGTTTGCAGTTGGCGACCCATTATTTTTAGAATGGGTAGGGGTTTTTGGTTTTTTGTTTTTTGTTTTGCAAAACAATCTACTTTCAGGTTTTGTTGGATAGTAACAAATCATAGGGACTTTCTTACTGTTACTATAAAACATTTTTCACCTGCACAGCAAGCTCCACATAATTAAAAAAAAACACATTGATAAAAATTAAAAAAAGAAAATGAAACAGTTTCAATGTCCTGAAAACTTGAAACTTACAAAAGAATCATCTCAGCAAAGGGCTACAGAAAAGTTTGGGTTGGGTGCATTTTCAGTGGGTCGGTAGGCAACTGCAAACAATATGGAGAAATTAACACTTTTTTTAAAAAACTAATTCTTTTCTCTAGCAGTTACGATACATTTATTTGCAAACTCACACATGGTTTAGCGTGTAAACGCAGTGTTTTCCCTTAATTATTTCAAAGTAAAGTATTAGAGATCAATTGTAACAGGCTTTGGTTTGAGGTTTATGACAAATCACTGTGGACCTTACACAATTAAATTTTGATTTTTTTATTTCAAAGCTGCATTTTTATCAATTTAAGTGGTCAATTTGGCTGGTAGCTGGTTCTTAGGAAAACACTGAAATGGGAAAAATGTTGGTAAGGTTATGAGAGAAGAATTTATGTTACAGTAAGTCCATTCACACATTGATTAAAGAGTTACAATTAATGTACATTATTGTAAGCATTCACTTAAGGCTAATAGGAAGAGGGGAACTTGGACCCTCCCATTTTTAAATTAAACAGCCAGGCTCTAGATTTGGTCATCAACTGAGGAAAATAACCCTGGACACTAATTTAGGCCTCCAATGATTACGCACAAAACAATCTCATCAGCAAGTCACAGTATTTAATGCTATTTAAAATCTGTTTATCTCCAACAGGACAAATCACCGAAGCATGACAAAGATATCTTGTCAGGGAGACGGATCCCCGCTGACAAATTTTTCCCTCCCTGACAGAAAACTTATTAACAGCATTCTGTAAGACTCAATCTCTTGCGCCTGATTTGTGCTGATGTGCGTAGATTGTCACTCTGGTCTCGGGATTTGAGACACTCACCGGGCGCATCCCATTGTCCAAGCAAATTAAATCGTTCAACATGAAGCGTGCGTTTATTTATTCCTAATTAGTTAATTTGGGATTTTCGTAGTCGGGCGTGTATTTGTGCAGATGTTGGACAGGAGGTTTTTGAAATGTTCCATTGGGAGAACAGACAGAAAACTCACACTTGAATCAATTTCATTTCAAGGTTTTCCGACATGTTTATTACAACAAATTCATAGGGATGACAAAGTCTTTCTGTCATTTGATCTTGATAGTATCAACAAAAGCTCAAAGCCATGAGGCCACAAAATCAGAATTGAAACTGGGTGGAGAGGACTTACATTGGCACTCTAGCCTGCTGTCTAAAACCTTTTCCTAAATGGAAATTTTTTATAAATATCATTTAAAAAGACACTGAGTTGACATGTGATGATCACAATATTATCATTTTGATTTCAAAACTCAAAAAAAGCATTCATTAATTCATCAGCTAAACACTTATGACAGTGGACTGTGTAGTATTTTTGTAATCAGTGAATATAACATTACATTAGAAATGGTCTACTACAACTGGAATCATACCTACCGATAATAATTTTTTTTAAAAACTGGACAAAATTAGTACAATTGTCATGATAAATACTGTATGAAATGACTTGTGTATATAACTATTAACTTAGATTTTATAAAAGAAGCTGCTGTGCATTCTGTGAAGGATCCTGTAGCAGTCTTCAGGTTCAGATGAAGAGGAAAAAAATTACCTTCTGACCGTCAACACAACACATAATGTCATGTAAATATTTACAAATCTATGTATTCAGAGTATACATCATGTACATGCAGAGAATGAATATTAGCCAAAGCCATATCGAAAATCTCTGACTTCTTTCTTAATACTGCTTGTCCCAATGTGGGAGTCATCTTTTTTTTAAGATTACATTTAAATACTGGCTCTGTAAGTTGCTTCCAGCCCTATGTCTTCCAACTTCCAATTTTCACAGCATGCCCCTCTCTGCATTGCCTTGCAGCAACTCTTTAAATCCAGGATAAAGATGGTCTTGACTGAGCCCTATCAGATCTAAGGTTGTGAAACATCAAAGCAATTACTTCAGGCCCAAAGATCTTCACAAAAACAACTGGTGCTCAATGCTTTTCCCTCTCTTTCCCATATGTATTTGGCTTTTGGGGTTAAATATCTAATAGGGGCGGGCTTAAAATAGTAACCAGAGACGCTTGCCTTAATTAAGTTTTTTCACTCTTGGGGAAATATATGCTATGCTAATACCCAGGTGCTCCTTTCCCAACTGACAAGTGAAGACTGATTCCAAAGGTAGAACTTTTCAGTTCCTTAAAATAAGATGCATAGAATCGGTTTCAAATTCAGCTCTAATTATACGATAATCTCATCAAAGAGGTGACGGATCCCTGGACCCTCTAGGTCCGCTTTTATACTGCTTGGAATCACTTTACAGACCATAGACATATTTTATGTACCGATAGCATTTAACGTTGGACAGCTGATGAAATAATATTCTATTTAATCCTTTATGAAGTCCCAGCATTCTACTGGAAAAACTACCTAATTATTTGCAGAAAAGCAACCCTCGTTAAATTGGTAGCCTGCTGTTTCCCAGTTGACTTCAGAATGAAAATGATCTGGGTATTTACATTAGCAAACAAATCAGATATTTAATGTGCTCCACAACAAAAACTTTTCCCAACATAATTTACATTTCACCAACAGCAATGTCACTGCCATGACTCACATGAAGAAACTTTGGCCATGGTTTTTGTCCACTTGAATTTATTTATTTTCAATTGAAAAATTAATGTGATACCGTAGGATAGAGATAATGAAAATCAATAAAAGCAGTCAGATGCATGAACAATGTTCTAATTTTCCTTATCTAGATCACATGTCCAATTGATCGATGCACAAATACAATAAACTTTGACTTGAAAGAAATGTTTAAATCAAGTTTCATATTTTCGCTGTTTTTCTTGAAATACACATGCATATAGGAAAAAATTTATTTTTAAAATGAAGAGGAGAAAATTCGAAATGTCACATGTGTCTTTTAAAAAATGATTTTTTTCACAGACTTACTGTTTTCGGTCGCTTCAAAATAGCTCCAGAATCACAGAGGTTACATTTGATAGGCATTGTGATGGTTATTTACGATGTATAATACACTAATAAACACTCATTTTGTCAACACTTGTGCAATACTTTCTCCTTGTTTTCCTCAATGTACTATTCCAACCTCAGCATATAAAAGAGTTCCCTGTCAAAGAGGAACAACTCTTATTAACTCTCAATCTGTTGTAAAAACACTGTTAAACCAATTTCATTCATGTAAATTTAACTTTAATCATGAGAAAAGATTTATACCAATCCTTATTTCTGGAATAACTTTCAGAAATAATATTTAAATAGAATTATGTTTAAATGCTGTTAGAGCTACATATGGCGTATCTAAGCTAAAAAATAAAAATACGAGTGTATATAAACATGATATATGTTTATTTACATTCAAATTATTAAAATTTTCACCAATTTTGAATGTGAATAACCTAATGTTTCCATAGTTAAATTGACCTTAAACTGTGCCTGTTATTTAAATGCGGAATCGGTAAATAACTCGGTTATTGTTTTAAATTTCTAATATCTTTGAAACGTGATTGATTTAAATTGTGGTAATTTACAGGAAAGTACTATCTTTATATAAATTAATAAAACAAATAGAAAGATCTTTTTAGTTTTAGTTAGTCTGAACTTATAAAAAATACGCCATATAAAATTCGAAATCTCCATCAACTTTCAACTCTACGCAAACATTTACTTCCATAATTTTGTTCGTGTATATTTTTGATTTAAAAAATGTAGTGAACTCCAAGCATCAATCTTTAGGGGGAAAATCAGTACATATGCTCAATTTTCTTTCATTCGTTCGTCTAACTACATTATTTATCCCATATATTTAGATCAATACCCTCTTAAAATGATTATGAAATCCGTGATCATGATATGGACTATACAATGTACTTGTAAAATCTGGAAATCAAATACAACTGATTTTATTACATTTTTACAGAACAGTCTCGGGTGGACCTTTCCGCGGAGAGAAAAACAACCTTGATTATAATGAGATGCTTTTCCGAGCTTGCTAAGCGGAAAGACTTTCTTAGATTTTCTCATTTGCTCATTATTTGTTCATATTGTGCGGAGAATCAACAAGATCTGGAAATTGAAGCATAAGTTTATATCTGTTCATTTTGAACTTATTTCATGTCATTTATTGCACTCAAAGTATAGGAAATGAATATTTCTTGGTAACCAAATAATGATTGTTCTTATCGTGCCCCCTTTCCCCATCACAAACCACCCACCAATTAAAAGTCGTAAATTTAACCTGAGCAAGATGTATTTTATTGCATTTCATCATTCTTATTTTAGTAATGAGATTGATTGCAAACACTTTTTTTCCCTTTCCTATATAGTTTAAACATTAATCAATATATCAAAAATACTAGAAAACAAAAGCTGCCTGATAAATGTTATGACCTGGGGAGAAAACTTCCTTTGAAGTTGGCTGTACGTAGACGAAACCAATATTTAAATGAATCCAAATACAATATTTACCTTCTTTATGATTTGATTAATACTTCTGTTATATAAAACTAATAGGTTTAACCAAGTTTTGTAAAGCTGTTCTTAAATAATTTCATACCTGAACTTCCTAAAACATAAACATTAAACGTTTTTAACAACTGTCAGTACTGTCCATATCATAGATCTTTTTATAGTTTATTATGTTAACTGTCCACATGTTGATTTGTTCATTTGTTGAATTTTCATTCTACTAACACACTACCATGCATGTTGGGGGCTTTAGTGAAATAAAGAAGTCTCCAGTCTCAAGTCCCAGTTTAGACTATCAGTAAGATTGATTAACTTTGTACATAATTTTAAATTTTTATCATTGTTCAAAATCTAATATTTCTGAGATTTTCAAATATCTCCCTAAGCACTGCGCATGGCATGCAACAGCACCTAACTACTCGAGCCCGCCCAGGCAAAGAGTCAAAGCAAATCTTGACCCCCTGTTCACTCAAAACCACATTAATGGCTAAAATATGAGTCCAGGAACCGGGAATAAATTATCATATCCGCCGCGATTAAGTTAGACAGACATTGATAGGTCGTTATTCGTTGATTGAGTTTATTGGGAAAATCGTGTTGAATTACCCAATAAATCGACGACTTTCATTCATCCCGGCCCTACCCCTTGACCGGTGCGGTATTTTATTTCCCGGGCGACAGATTTTTCATCATCGTTTTGAAGTCCTAACTTCACGGGAGTGCGGGATTTGGGTAATCAAAATAAAACATCGAACACACCCCGCCATTCTGAATTTGGGTAGTTGTCTGATGAGACGATATTGACAGACTCAGTCCAATGACACCCCTTCCCAACCCACCGGCCCTTGAATGAGATGAACAATATTTTATCGAGATACATGTTGTTCAATTCATATACTAGAAGCATACCTCAAAACATATATATGTCGATTTTTTGACATGTTTTTCATTTATATCTATCTTCATTTTGACTACTTTTAGCAAAACGTAAAGAATGGATATATTCAAGTTAGGTATATGAAGTAAATTTTAAGAAATTTCAGAAACCGTAAAAATTCAAGGTGAATCAAGTGCATGCAGAGAAAAACTTTTTTTGAATTAGTAAATTATAATAAGTAAGTTTTGTATCTGCATGTCGTCCACAACGGATACGCATTCCGAAACACCATATTCACTAACCTTCAAATCTTATATTAAATGTACATATGTAATGGAGCTTCAAATTAATAGAATTTTTTAAAATACAGTAAATACAGTATATTCTAAGTCTTAGATATGAAGTAAGTACGTTTCAAATTTTCATAAAAATCTGATTTGCAAACCGCAAGCATAATATTTAAATATCAAAAAGTAATTTTACATGTATACAGGTATATCATAAGAAAATTAAGTAAAACACATTTTTAACGCCACAAAGCCTTTTTTTCGTATAAACAACCACGGTTTAAGAAAAAAATGTCATTTTAATTGAATTTTTATTTCCTAAAATTAATTTAGCTTATGACATATACTCCGTTCAGAGCATTTTAATATTTACAACTTTTTGTTCCAATATCAAAACCAGCGTTGAAGACAATGAAAACAAATATGTGTCAAATACAAATTTAGAATTTTTCAATTTAATTTTTTATACGACATATACAAATTTAAATTGAAAAATTCTAAATTTTTGTAGAGGACATCTGTTACACGATCTAAGATTCGAAAGATCTAAAATATGCTTTATTGTTATGTTCTGAATTTTGAATTTACTTGATGGGAGTAAATATGCAAAATTTCGAACAAGTTTTTTCAAACATGATCAGTAATCTGTCCCAGGACTATAAATGGAGAACAGACTTATTAAAAATTTCATATAAGTTTAAGTTTTGAAATAATTTTGAAAATAAAACAAAATTTTCATCGCTTGTTTTAATTTGAACATTATATACAAACATGCAACATTTTTAAATTTCTTAAACGAAATTCAAGATATTTAAAATTAATTCAGTTTCATTATATTCTCAGGTTCTGATCTTGGGGCCTTAAACTCAAACACATTACACATGTAGAGACTGCAATTAAAATCATATTCCAACATGACAGAACTAAATGTTCATACATGTATCACGAAAAGGAGAAAAAAAATGAATTTTTACTGAAATTTCAAAATATGTGTTTAGCTGCATTATTTGATGTATTTTTGAAGAACATGTACATGTATATGTATTATTGGTAGGTATAAAAATGTAAATTTCCTTCCAGTATCAAAAATCTAAAGAAATAAATTAATTCTCATAGCAAGATATAGAATAGATTAATTCTCATAGAAAGGTATGAAATAGATTAATTCTCATAACGGAGTAAACCTTTCATAACATTTAAAAAATGGCTTTCAAAATAAAAAAAAAAAAATCTTACTTTATATATAAAATAGGGAACGTGAATTCGAACAATAGCTTTACTCATAATCAGAACGCCATGCTACAAATATTGTTCGAAAAATAATATGGGATACCAAAATAAAAGTTAATCAGATCTTTATCATTATTCGTCCGTCTTATTTCAAGAGTATTCTTCTAAAGCGGTTTAGTATGAATTGGGCAGACACACACAAGACATAGCCCCTAGGAAGGAATGTGATTCTTGTATGCTGCTTCAAACGCTAGCCCCGCCCTCCGTTTTCTTTGGAAGTGAAGGGTCTGCCAATCTCACCGACGGCTGATTTCACTGTCTGAATACGAAACAAATGCAAGACATTGTCACTGAAGTGGGGACAAATTGATTCGGGAGGAATCGTTCATTTTTCAGTACCTTGTAAACGTGTTGAGAGTGCTTGTCGACGTAAGGTTTGATGAGGATATGAGCGACCCCGCGCAGCAGACGACAGAGAGAAATATGTCATCGACGTCATCGTTTGAGTTGGACTCGGACGACGTGACTATTGATGACGGCGACGATTCTCAGAATTCCACTTCTATGTCTACCGTGTTTACATATTCCGAAAACCGTCATCAAAGTAATGAAAAGACACAGTACAAAAGTGAAAAGAAGAAAGCTATTGCCAGCAAGTGTATGGACGAAAAAGAAGTACAAGACCTAAGACTTAAGATCAATTCTAGAGAGAGAAGGAGAATGCACGATTTAAATTCAGCTTTGGATGGATTACGAGAAGTGATGCCGTATGCTCATGGGCCATCAGTTCGAAAACTTTCAAAAATTGCTACACTGCTATTAGCCAAGAACTACATACTAATGTTAAACAATTCTTTGGAAGAGATGAAGAAACTAGTGAGTGACATTTATCAGAACCACCCAAACAGACCAAGAGCACCACCCGCTGCCCACTTGCACCATTCCCACCATCTTCCTACCCCACATCTTTCCCCTGTATCCTCCATTACTCAGCTCCAGCATCAACTTCACCCTGCTGAGGTTGAAAGCATTCGTGCTAGTTCTTCTAAAGAGGGCCCAATAACGCCATTACCGAATCCTCACGAGCGACATATGCTCCCACATCGATGGCCCGTGCCGTGCGCGTGCAGTCAATGCATGATGGATTCCATGAGGATGTCCTATGGAACCATAGCAACTAAGTATCCAGGGGCAAC